TCAGCAAACTTGCTGAGAGTGCCTTCTGCCCCTTCATCCAGGTCATTGATGAATACGTTCCACACGACTGGAGCCAGGACTGACCCCTGGGGGACACCGCTAGCTACAGGCCCCCAACTAGACTCTGCACCACTGACCACAACCCTCTGAGCTCTGCCGTCCAGCCAGTTCTCAATCCCCCTCACCCTCCACTCATCCAAGCCACGCTTCCTGAGTGTACCTATGAGGATGTGATGGGAGAGAGTGTCCAAAGCCTTGCGGAAGTCAAAGTCGACAACCTCCACTGCTCTGCCCTCATCTACCCAGCCAGGCATTCCGTCAGAGAAGGCTACCAGACTGCTCAAGCATGATTTCCCTTTGGTGAATCCGTGCTGACTACTCCCAATCACCTTCTTGTCCTCCGTATGCTTAGTGATGCCCTCCAGGAGGAGCTGTTCCATCACCTTTCCAGGGACGGAGGTGAGGCTGACAGGCCTGTCGTTTCCTGGCTCCTCCTCCTTGCCTTTTTCGAAGCCTGGAGTGACGCTGGCTTTCTTCCAGGCCTCAGGCACCTCTCCTGATTGCCATGACCTTTCCAAGATGATGCAGAGTGGCCTAGCAATGATGTCTGCCAGCTCCCTCAGCGCTCATGGGTGCATCCCCTCGGGGCTCATGGACTTGTGGATGTCCAGTTTGCTTAAGTGATCCCTAACCCAATCCTCCTCCACCAAGAAAAAGTCTTCCTTTCTCCAGACTTTCTCCCTGGTCTCCAGGGCCTGGGATTCCTGAGGGCTCGTTTTACCAGTAAAGACTGAGCCGAAGAAGGCATTCGCTACCTCTCTGCATTTTCGGTGTCCTTTGTCACCTGCCTTATTCAGCAACAGGCCTACATTTCCCCAGTCTTTCTTTTGCTATTGATATACTTATAGAAGCCCTTCCTGTTGTCCTTGATATCCCTCACCAGATTTAACTCCAGATTGGTCTTGGAGTTCCTTCCTTCCTTGCCCCATCCTGGTAGATTTGCACAATGTCCCTATATTCCAGGTAACATCCTGTCCCTGCTTCCACCTTCTGTACACTTCCTACTTCTGCCTAAGTTTTGCCAGTAGATCCTTGTTCATCCATGCAAGTCTCCTGCCCCCTTGCCTTGATTTCTTGCTCATTGAGATGGACTACTCTCGAGCTTGGAGGAGGTAATCTTTGAATATCATCCAGCTTTCTGGGACCCCTCTTCCTTCTAGGATCCTATCCCATAGGATTTTTCAAAGCAGGTCCCTGAAGAGGTCAAAGACTGCTCTCCTGAAGGCCAGGGCTGTGATCTTGCTTTTTGCCCTGCTCCCTCCTCATGGGATCTTGAACTCCACCATCTCGTGGTCACTGCAACCAAGGATCACATCCCCAACCAGTCCTTCCTTGTTTGTAAGTTGTCTCCTCGTTGGCTCCTCTATCACCTGTATCAGCAAGTCGTCATCGATGCTCTCCAGGAACCTCCTGCATTCCTTGTGCGCTGTTGTGTCATCCCTCCAGCACTGGGGTAGTAAAGTCCCCCATGAGGACCAGGGCCTGCGAATGTGAGACTATTTCCAGCTACCTGTAGAAGACCTCATCTACTATTACTTTCTGATCTGGCGGCCCGTAGCAAACACTCACAACAGCGTCACACATGTTAGTCTGCCCCCTTAATCCCTATCCATAAGCTCTTAGCCAGCTCATCGTCCACCCCTAGGCAGAGCTCCATGCATTCCAGCTGCTCACTCACATACAGGGCGACTCCACCTCCTCGCCTTCCTGGCCTGTCCTTCCTAAAGAGCCTGCATCTCTCCATTGCAGCATTCCAGTCGTGCAAGCTGTCCCACCATGTTTGAGTTTCATAGCTCCTTAGTAATTCTCTTTTGCCAGCTTGTATTGAAAAGCAATTATTTCAATTTCCCTGTCTCTTGTATCAGCAATTCAAACCACATGTTAAGTAACTAGAGACGTTATATTATTTCCAGTACTGAGGTCATGGTTAGTTAGTCTGTAGCCTAGAGTCAAGAACCAAGCCACAAGGCAATTCTGTCTGGTATTTATGTTATTTCTGTTCATATGTCATGGCCTGGAGGAGGTGCATGCAGCACGCTGGCAAGATCAACTACAACAAGGCATTGCACAAATGTGACAATATTGGTCTAAAGCCATGACAAACATCGCTGAGCACACCCACAAAACATACAGAAGTCAGTTGTCCCTGCTTTAAATATGCAGCCCAGGAGGACACGTTCCAGGTCTCTGTCACATGCACAAACGCCATCGACTGCATTCTGCAGCCAGTGATGCTTGTAATACTCAAAATGAGTTAAAAACAAACACACAAACAAAAAACCAAAAAACTCCATAGCTCAAAAAAGGAACTACAGGGGAATAACCAAGGACGTGATATTAGAATTTGTCCAGCTTATGTTTCACAGGCAGCACAAATCTTTTCTGCCCAGCATGTAGCTGCAGTCATTAGGTTGATGTGTTTGAATACAGGATGCACACACGAGAATACCAGGTCTCACTAAGGGGAAGAGCACATTTCAGCTGACATACTAACCGAACCATGAGTTTCCAGTTTGCAGCTGGCCTGGAGCATGGGCAAAGCAAGATGTCATCTCTCCACATGTATCCATACATACTTACCAAGATTTTCAGGTGATCTCTCCCAACGGTTTTTTTTATTCCAAAACAGTGTATACAAAGCATTTTGAAAAATCCCTTGTGTGAAAACATTTTAACAGAAAATAAATAAGGCACTGACAGAACAGATAAGAAAAGAATCAATTACAGCAAACCGCATTAAACTCTTAAGTTTAGATCCCAAAAAAGGAAACTATCTAGACACAAAGGGTAATTATCCTGCCAAAATCGTATAAGAATGCTACAAAAAACAAAGGGTGAAATCTAAAGCATTTTTATTTTTTACCTTCTTCCCCTTTGCTGTGCTTGTGGTCCAATTTTCCTGGCCTTAAAACACATCCATTTAACAACTTCTTAGGGTTTCCGTCTGGCACGTCGTGCAATAACTTATCAGTTCTCTGATCTGTAACATGTGGACCTTTGCGCGCCCTGTCCAAAGAGCGAGAGTGTCTCGGCCCAGCCTTGCAGTCTACTATTGACAGAGTTTCAGGAGGTAAAAGCAGTTTTTTAAAAGCCAGGGGAGAATCAACAAGGCTTACGTCTTCTTTCATTTCATCCTTTGGAATGAGCCTATTGGAAAGGAAGTTTCCCTTTTCAGCCTGTTTCTCACGAGTTTTGCCTTCATTCACAGCACACGAGTCCATCACGTGCTCTGAAGACTCCTCTTCTGCAAATGACTCCTCTGAACTAAAACTGACGTTCATGGGGTTCTGCAGCGCTTCTATGTACGACTTCCTAAATAAGCGTCTTGCCTCAAAACATGAAGAATCCCTGAGCTGTTGCCCTGTTGGACATGACCTGTTCACATCTGTATCAAAAGTTATGCTTTTCACGTGACTCTTCTTTTCCACAAGGGGTGATAACGCCTCATCTTTTAAAAACACAAGGTCCTTTGCAGGCCCAACAGCTCTGTCTTTCGCGCTGGACCAAGCCTCTGAGCATACACCAAGACTGACACAGTCATCTTCGATTTTCTCATCAGAAGCCTTACAGCACTCTAATGCAGGGCTGTTTTCCGAGGTAGGAACCGAACTCAGCACAGCACTATCGAGGCTGCTGCGATGCTTTGTCCCAGTGGCTTCTATCACCGTGGAGCCTGTGTCATTGGAAGTGGAACTGTCACACGAGCTGTTGCTTTCCATGGTCTGGGTCAGGGCTCTAACATCAGTATTATTACTAATCAGCCGATCAAAGAGATTACCAGAGTAATTGCACAGGATGGTTTCGGTTGTGGGAACAAAGATGGGATTAATTATGTTCTTCCATGGGGTTCTATAGACAGCTGAGCCAGTCGTCAGTAAGCAGCTCTTCAGGGGAAAAGTCTCTCTTTCACAATTCAACTTTTCCAAAAATGCTACTGTAAAAATGCAGCCATACATCGTTTCAGGTATAGCAACTTCTTCCATTCCTTGCCCACATCTGGAGAGGCATTTTAAAACTAGCTTTACCAGCTGCTTCCCGGCAGGTACTACTTGTAAGTAAAAATCTCCTGGTTTCAGGCGAACTCTGTGGAGCGATGCTAACTGTATCACTACTTTTTCATGGATGCACAATGGCCAGCCTTCATGATAGAAGATGAGGCCAGTGTATTTAGCCTGAAAGCAGGAAAGAAAGAAAAAACATAAGGAAAAACGTGCCCTTTAATGAGAGCATTCTGCTACTTCCGAGAAGCAAATGGGGTCCCACTCTGTTTCAGTTAGCCTTCCCTTGCAACACCATCAAGGTTTGTACCTTACGGCATGGCAGTAGAGAGTATAGCCAAGATTATGTCTGACAGACACATAAATTAGCCCTGCTGATATGTAAGAGCAAACTCTGTGCTACTCTCTCTCTCATTTGCTAAAGGGAAAATTGTTTATTTAACTCAACCTTTATTCTAGCTTTCCAGTTGCTGCACAGGTTAGAAAGGAGATGATAACAGTTTTACATAATTAAGCATTACCTTTTAACCAGTCAAATTAAGCTTTCCAAAACAATATTAAGTCTGGAAACCAGGAGACTAACTGAAAAAATATATAAGGCTAAAAACCTGGGTTTCTGAAATTTGATTTTCCTACTGTTTCTATGCAACCAGGAAAGCAAAGGGAAAAAAAAGCCATTTCTTTCTTCTGTATTCACATTATTCCAGGAACCAGAACTTTGCAAGGCAGGGCGTATCATAGATCATACCCCCCTCCAAACACAGCTTTGTCAATAACGTCACGGTCCAACTACATCCCTTTGGTAAAGTCAGAAAAAGCAGCCAAGTATAAGCTTTCCTTACAGTCGTGAAGACAGTATCAAATCCAATCTTATTTGAAAAGTATTTTTTCTCAGGAAGGCCTCATGTATATTTTAAGATCAGGAAGAGAGCTTAAGAGGTTTATTCATATAAAACAACAAAAAAAATTATTTCGCCAAGATATGTATAAACTTGAAATCATAATCTGCTTCTAACTTAAACAGCCTGTAAAACGCTTTGAGAAGAAGTGAACCAAACGTTCCCAGGGGGACCAACACAGACGGGACGGAGAGGGGAATCAAGAGTTCAGACCTCTTAGATAGGACTTCAAGATCCGGCATTCAAAGCGGACATATTTCCTCTTTGTCTTCAGAAAGACACACAGACTACCCTTCGGCTCTGTCGCGGGCATGCATCCCGTTCACACACAGTGCTCTGTGTCCGACAAAAAGTGCCCAAGCTTCAACGCGGTTTGACACCACCGTGCGGTGCTCTAGCACTTCTGGCAGACATCACAACACCTGCGTACTATCAGGCAGAGAAGAGAAATGCATTGAAAATGCCCTCGCTTTTCTGGGAACATGAGCACAGAAAACACTTCCAAAGTAATGATTTTAAAAGTGTTACAGTAAAAATATCCAGCTGAAACTTGAAAAGGAAGCCGCTCAAATATCAGATGATTTAAGTGTCTTGTATCAAACCCAAAAGTATATCTAAGGCTTAGACTTCTAGGAAGTTTAGGTTACAGCAGTGCCTTTTGCTAGCTGTTGATTCTGCTACAGTGAACACTTACAATCTCTTTAAAAAGGCAAACCCTTGCGCTCCCAGAAACACTTTCTTCTTCCAGTTTCTCATTCAACAATATTTTAAACAGATTACTGAACTTAAAGCAAACTTATGGTCAGAAGAAAGACAACTATTCAACACAGGTTTTAATAACAATGATTTTCGGGTTTCTTTCAAACTACACTGACTTTCCAGTGCACTGGACCCAGAGGGCATAAAATAAAACATTACTCCTAGAACTGAAGCTATGCACGGAGTTTTCACTTTTTCACTATTCCTGGGGAAAAAATAATTTAAAGAACAGACTTGATAACTTGCTTTTATTAAATAGGAAACAGCTGCTTGTCTAGGCATACTCCCTAATTAAATTCATTTTAAAATATGTTTCTGCATTACTTAAGAAATATAATACTAGCTTGAATGAAGATTTCATATAGAAAGAATGGAGAATTCATTGTAAAAAAAAAAAAAGTAATCACAAAAATTGTTGCAAATTCCTCTGCAAACATGAGAAAGGCACATAAAATGAGATTTCTGGTACACCAGCTAGAAAGAGCACGAGTAACATCCTGGACTGACAAAAGCCACTGTTTCAGTCAAGACTTTTCCCATCCACTCTAGAAACCTATCACATAAAACACCTCCACAGACTAATTATACAATGCAAACGTTTAGAGTATGTGTATATTTGACAACTGCAAGCACACACTAGAAGTAACAGAAGATTAAGTTTTTTATTTGTAAGTCAGAAGTTCTTCTACTGCCACGCTTGATTCCCGGTGCCTTGCACTTGTGCAGTCATCTACATCTGAACAAGGACTGGGGAGGGAGCCCTGTCTCATTTTGAATGGGACCTTCTTACAAAGAGCAGTGAATGAAAAGGGGAGAAAAAAAAAAAAGAAAAAAGGAAAGTGAGCTATCTTGTTTCAACAAACAGGAAACAACAGCAACTTTTACCAAGTAGCTTTTAACTGTTTTATTTGGGGATAGAAAAGGAGGAAGACATAGAAAACTGATGCACAGTTTTAACTCCTTCTCCCCCCCCCCACCCCCCCAATTTCTGAATAACAGTACGATTTGTTTTCTCCATAAGCATTCTGGTCTTCGACAAAACAAATAACTGGCATTTTTTCACTATAGCAACAAAATGTTTTACTCAGAAAAAAAGATGATTTATTGTTTGGAGAGGAAAGTACCTGTCCAGACCTGAGACAGAAAAGATCCCCCTGGGTCTGTCTGTCTGTCATCTGCCTCAGCAAACACAAATCCAGTGAGTTAAAGTCAGTCCGTTCACCTTGACTGGTAATGAACAACCACAAAGTTTACTTTTGCTCTAGGGAAGAGATTTCTGTGATACAACAGAGGCGTTCATATTTGAAACATCTCTGAAAAAAGTGCATTATCGCTTATAAAACACTAAATACAACATAACTTTTGTTCCTGTTGGCTGCGTTACAAACTCATAACCCTTGGTGCAAGTTTTGTTAAAGTCTGGTATGCTGTCCTGTCTGATATGGCTGCAGCAGGTAAAGCCTAGAGAAAAAATAGCTCAGTGTTCCTTGCCTACTTTTAATTGGATACTAAGAAAAAACAGGTCTTGGTACAAGAGACTCTCAGATGTTTATACCCAGAACTGCAGAGTAAAAACTTATAGCCAACAAAGCTAGGACAGTTCTAGTGGGAAACTACACAAAAAAAACCCCCACAAAATACACAAAACCCCTCAAATCTACTGGGATCTCTAACGATCTCTTGCCAGCTGCTGATAACAATCTTGCAATCTACTATTTCTATGTTTGACTTCAGGAGAACCATTTTGAGCACAACCTTGTAGGATACATGTAAGAAATACAGGCAAATGTATAACCGTCATCTATCAATATAAGAGTAACTAAACTTTAATGTGAAAAGGTGACAGATGTAAAGGTGTTTAGGTTTAAAACTTTTTATCATTCAAAAATTCAACTACAGCACTGCTGCATTTCTTTAAAATTCTAAATGAAAATCGAATAGGGACCTGGAAAAACACCTTACACCTCCCATACAATACCTACCTTCCTGATTTTCCTGATCTGCCTCACCTGCCTCCTAATATAATTCAAGAAATTAAATGATAATTTGCCATTTCCCTTCTCAGATCTACAGGCTGTTAAGGAAATCATTAGCATTATAAATCACCTTTCAGAAATCTTTGCCATCCACATCCAATACTGCTTTGTAGAAACAGCAAGAACAGCAAAGAATGCTAATGCTTTTAATGCTGGACACTTACATACAGGCCTATTATCTACCAGACCCATAGCAGGATGTGAAAAAAGTTTGCTTTGCAAATTTTTGGGGGTTCACAGTCAAATAAGAGGATCTTGGAGTAGGCAAAGCAGGTAAAGGATCAACCTTCTCTTCATAGATAGGACATCTATGTAGAGACAGAAATATCCGCAGATAAGATACCTTTTCAAATTATATCGTTCCACCCATACCCATCGGGGTAGAATATAACACTGATTCTGCTCCAAAATCTGGGACTGCTGCTGCTCACAGCTCCAAAGAAAAGTAACAGGACTACTAGTCTCTGAAGCAGGAAAACTTCAACTGCATTATTTAACTTGCTTCCCAAGAGCTAATTCCTTACCGTATCTCCTCGAGACCTTTTCCCTGTCTAGTGTTTCTTCAGCTTGGGAAAAAGAAGATTTTAGTTCCAGCTACTTATGCTATAGAGGTTATAGTGTTTTTACACCAGCAGTTGCAGGACATATGGCTCACTTTCGCAGCTAAGTAAAAAGATATCATGGGGAGGGAAAG